TACATTTTGTAGAACATCAATATGATAGTTTCGTGTTGTGGTATGGGCAAGACGAAAATTTAACAAAAATAAAAAAAAAATAAAAGGAAAACTAATGAAAATGGCTTGAAAACTTTGAGTTTTAATGATAAAGACAAAATAAAGGGTAAAGTGAATAGTACCATGATTGATTTTTTAGTGTAAAAATGTGGTTTTTTGTTAAAGTGAACAGTACCGCGGACTTTTCGTTAAAACTCCCAAAAATAAAACTTTAAATAAATAAAATTAAAAGTTTAGACGTAGTCCAAACGTATGCCCACTAGAAAGTTCAAGCCACATTAGAAGCAGTGAAGGCCCATGAGGTTTAGTGTTTAGGGGCACATGAATAGTAACACCATGAGGTTTAGTGTTTAGGGGCGTGTTAATTTTATAGATGTTTTAATCTAAAAATATTTAGATTCCGATAAATATTGAAAAATCACTAAACCTGACACTTATTAACTACATAAAATTAATTAGTAAATTATTAAACCATAACCTTTAGCTCTAGCAAATATTTTACGCGGGAATTAACGAAAATGTTCACTTGATGTGATTTTATCCTTTATTAAGCCCATAAACTATTTCTCATTAATTTTTTGAAGTTGAAAAATAGAAAGGAAAAAAAAAAAACTAACAGTGGGGACTCCCAAAGAGATTTGTAGGTGTCCAAAATCTTGGGAATGTGCTAAATTAATTTTAGGAAACACGTGGTGCGAGTAAAATAACTATAACTTTGGCTTATAAGTTTATAACGAATATTGTAAAAGTTCTCAACATCGATTAGAGAACTATGGGTTGTAAATCACAGTTTTTGTGAAAATTTGAAATTTTTAGCTTTATGAAATATTTGTGTCGGAGTTAAAGAAAATATTGGAAGACCTTTGGACGTGATAACGTTTATTAGGTCCCGAAACTATTTTTTTTATTGATTTTTTCAAGTTGAAAATATGAGAGTATCTTTAAATTTAGGTTTTAAATCATTAATTTCAAGTGTTTAAATATTAATTATAATAGATTTAGCATGGGATAATATATTTTGAATAACATGAATATGATAATTTGTAGTTATGGTAAGATAAATAAAATGAAATAAAATAAATAAAAAGAAAAAAATTGAAAATAGGGGGATCGGTATGAAGATAGCGACTTTTTACGATTAAAATTGCTAGAATGGTAGCGATTCTAAGCCAATACAATCGCTACGAATATAGCAACTCCTTTCATGGAGGATCGGGAACAAAGTATCGATCGTAACATTTTTTCCCCCACCTTTTTCTTTTTCTTTTTCCATTGAATTTCTTTTTCTTTTCCCATTGAATTTCTTTTTCTTAGTGCGTTACTTTATTTAGATTCAAATACCTTTTATATTTGTATCCTTATTTTCAAATTTTTTTTGACATGGATTAGAAGAAAATTTTCACCAAAAATACATTTTGTAGAACATCAAGATGATAGTTTTGTGTTGTGGTATGGGCAAGACGAAAATTTAACAAAAATAAAAAAAATAAGAGGAAAACTAATGAAAATGGCTTAAAAACTTTGAGTTTTAATGATAAAGACAAAATAAAGGGTAAAGTGAATAGTACCATGATTGATTTTTTAGTGTAAAAATGTGATTTTTCGTTAAAGTGAACAGTACCGCGAACTTTTCGTTAAATAAATAAAATTAATGGTTTAGACGTAGTCCAAACTCACGCCTAAGTCCAAACACATGCCCGCTAAAAAGTTCAAGCTGCAGTAGAAGCAATCAAGGCCCATGAGGTTTAGTGTTTAGGGGCATGTGAATAATAACACCCTAAGTTCAAGTGTTTAGGGGCGTGTTAATTTTATAGATGTTTTAATCTAAAAATATTTATATTCCGATAAATATTGAAAAATCACTAAACCTAACACTTATTAACTACATAAAATTAATTAGTAAATCATAATTACTAATTATTAAACCATAACCTTTAGCTCTAGCAAATATTTTATGTGGGAATTAACGAAAATGTCCCTTGATGTGATTTTATCCTTTATTAAGCCCCGAAACTATTTCTCGTTAATTTTTTGAAGTTGAAAAATAGAAAGGAAAAAAAAAAAAAACTAATAGTGGGGTCTCCCAAAGAGATTTGTAGGTGTCCAAAATCTTGGGAATGTGCTAAATTAATTTTAGGAAACATGTGGTGCGAGTAAAATGACTATAACTTTGGCTTATAAGTTTATAACGAATATTGTAAAAGTTCTCAACATCGATTAGAGAACTATGGGTTGTAAATCACAGTTTTTGTGAAAATTTGAAATTTTTAGCTTTAGAAAATATTTGCGTCGGAGTTAAAGAAAATATTGGAAGACCTTTGGATGTGATACTGTTTATTAGGTCCTAAAACTATTTTTTTATTGATTTTTTCAAGTTGAAAATATGAGAGTATCTTTAAATTTAGGTTTTAAATCATTAATTTCAAGTGTTTAAATATTAATTATAATAGATTTAGCATGGGATAATATATTTTGAAGAACACGAATATGATAATTTGTAGTTATGGTAAGATAAATAAAATAAAATAAAATAAATAGAAAGAAAAAAATTGAAAAGAGGGGGATCGGTACGAAGCTAGCGACTTTAGTTGAGTACAATTGCTAGTGTTATAGCGATTGTAGTCGATACAATCGCTAGTGCTATAGCAACTCTCTTCAGGAAAGATCGGGATCAAAGTATCGATCATAACATTTTTCCCCCCGCCTTTTTCTTTTTCTTTTTCTTTTTCCATTGAATTTCTTTTTCTTAGTGCGTTACTTTATTTAGATTCAAATACCTTTTATATTTGTATCCTTATTTTCAAATTTTTTTTGACATGGATTAGAAGAAAATTTTCACCAAAAATACATTTTGTAGAACATCAAGATGATAGTTTTGTGTTGTGGTATGGGCAAGACGAAAATTTAACAAAAAAAAAAAAAAAGAAGAGGAAAACTAATGAAAATGGCTTAAAAACTTTGAGTTTTAACTTATAATGTCACATCCCGGGTTCGACTCCACCGTAACGTGACATTGTTCGCTTTGGGCCCTGACCACGCACTTACGGTTTTGTTTCTGGGAACTCACATGAGAACTTCCCAGTGGGTCACCCATCCTGAGATTACTCTTGCGCGAACTCGCTTAACTTCGGAGTTCCTACGGAACCCGAAACCAGTGAGCTCCAAATGGCCTCGTGCTAGGTAGAGATGAGAATATACATATAAGGCTTAGAGGATCCACTCCCCTGGACGATGTGGGATGTTACATATAATCTTTTTACAAAACTTGAATCCTCTTTTTCGATCCTGGTGTGAAAATTGTGGGTGTTGTTTATTTAATGGTGGCGATGACTTAATCTCAAATGAAAAATGCTACAAGGGTTTGTCTTAGAGCCGTGTATTTATAGGCTTTCCATATCTTGCCTACGGTTGAATTTCGTCTTGATTGTGGACTTGATTTATTGACGAAAGAAACACAAGACTTGATTTTGGGCTTGTTTCATGATTTGGCATTTTAAATCAATTAATTTGTTTCGATTTAAATTAAAACTAATCAAAGAACTAATAAAGATAATTCTTTAATTACTTTCCGCCAAGTGTCCACATGTGTCACTTTATGATTCGTCCGGTTTTGATGAGTGACATGTCACATGTACGATTTGTGCGACCCTTGGTGCATGTCACGTAAGCTCAGGTATGTCGAAATTTAATGTATTGGTAAATATTTATTTCATTGAAATTTCGATGTATGCAAGCCTAGCTGCGGAATGCGATCCTCTTTCCACTCTAAAACGACCCTGCACTGCCACATTGAACCCCACGATTCCATCCCTCAAATCCTCAACCACAGCAGCCGCCACTCAATCCTTGACAAATTAACACCAACGAGGCAGAAGCACTGGCACGCAAGCTTCTAATTCTTCAGACGAATCGGATCTTGGTACAACCGTTAGCGACAACGTTAGTCATGGAGAGAAACTCCTTGAGAAAGAAAACGTGACTTGCATGAGTACGTCATAGTAGATGCTCTTGTCTTCGTCTTTCTAGCAAGTAAAGTGATGTACCAATTTGCGCTCAGTGAAGAGTAGACTATAAAGGGTGACACCGAGATATGCCATCTAGCAAGTAAAATGATGTACCAATTTGTCTTTGTATTGTTTCCATGCTATGATATGGTTTAAAACTATTATTGTGAGGATTCCCACAAGTCACGCTGTAAAGTTTAAACAAGTTGTAGGTGTGTCGCGGTGGTGGAGTTGGCGTTGATCAGGGTGTTGGTGGCTGCAGCAACTAGGGTTTGCTTAGAAGGAACAATTTGAGTACTGACTTGGAGAGGAAGCATGGAGAACTATATGTTGAAGTGGTAATTGACACCGAACTTGTTAAAATTCCTTTGTCCCACATCAGCCACAGAGCTTGAGAACAAGCCTCTTAAATAGAATTACCCCACTCTAACTATCACCGAGACCTTTTGTATTAAAACCCCACACCTGACTGGTTGAACAGGTGACCAACTAGGGACAGTATCAATATTGTTAGAGTGGGCCCATGACCCGTCTACCTGAAATTTAAGAGAACTAACCTAGGGCCATACATAGTGGTGGCAATTGATGTTCTATAAGCAGCTTAATTAATTACTAATGATAGGATATAATTCCTAATGATAGGATATAATTCTTGAACTACACAGTAATTAAACATCTTAATTCGGGTCTACTTCCCTGTTTCTTGGAAGAAATATTCCGAGTGAGGAAATTTTAAGCTCTTAATTAAGCCTTTCTTTGGAAGAAATTTTGAGATTTTTTCACTACTTCTTCAACGGCTGCTAGTTTTTTTCGTGCACGGTTTTTAGGGGTAAGACATCTTCCATAAAACTAGCTAGTAATTGGCTAAGTAATTTGAGGGCGTTAAGCTTTCCAGTCTAAGTATAAAGTTGCGATGAAACCAAAATAAAGTTTTCATCAAAATTCCAAACGAAAGAAACTAATTCTGAATTGAAAACTCAAGATGGATTTGAAGCTGAAAAATATCTTGCCAATGTTTGTGTACTTGTTGTTAGCATCCACATCTAATGCCCAATCTGGTGTCTATGATGTAACAAGTGCAAATTATGGTGGAAAAGCAAACTCTGATATAACCCAGGTAGACATTATACATGCTTATGTAATTCTTCTTGAAATGCTAAACTAATATTTCTAACTAGAAGAGAAATTAATTCTGTACACACTTTTTGGATGTTGCACATTCTTATTTTCCTTTTGATTTGTTTAATTTAAAATAAGAAATAAATATGCATGAGAAAAAATATGAATAAGCGGAAAATCATTTCCGTTCTAGAATTGTTTGGTAATTAAAGTGAATCATTTCAATTTTTAATTTTTAATTTTTATACAATGTTTTTAATTAGGCTTTGAGCAAAGCTTGGACAGATGCATGTGCATCGACATCGGCAAGTAAAATTGTTGTTCCAAGTGGGACATACAAGTTTGTAGGGGCAACTTTCAAAGGACCATGCAAAGCTCCTATTGAGTTTCAGCTCCAAGGCACGGTGCAGGCTCCGGAACATATCAAGGAACTCCCAAAAGAAGATACTTGGGTAGCTTTTGAGCGCATTGATGGGCTCACCTTATCTGGTGGTGGAATTTTCGATGGCCAAGGAACAACTGCTTGGAAGCAAAATGATTGCCACAAAAACAAAAATTGCAAATCTAAAGCTGTTGTAAGATAATTTAAATCTTGTTCTTTTATAATTTAAATCACTTGCTAGATTGTGAAACTAAACGGCTGATCATACTCTTCTAAGAATATATATATATGGTGCTTGACAGCTTGAGCCATACGTGTGAAAAGAGAATATATTAGGTAGCGAATCTAAATCATGGATCATGTGGATGATTTGCGATTTTGATTCAGTGTGACAATATAAAAATTTTCCTGACATAACTTTGGCAAGAGACATTACTTGTCTTAATATGTTTTAATTGTTTTCACACTATTCGCAGAATTTGAGATTCAATTTTGTCACCAATTCCATAGTTCGAGAAATAACAACAAAAGACAGCAAAAATTTCCACGTCAATCTTTTGGGTTGCAAGAATTTGGCATTCCAACATTTTACAGTATCAGCGCCTAAAGAAAGTGTCAATACAGATGGAATTCATATGGGACGTTCAACTGAGATCAACATCACAGATACAACCATTGGAACTGGGGATGACTGCATCTCTATAGGTCATGGCACCAAGCAACTTCATGTAACCAACGTTACATGCGGACCAGGCCACGGCATAAGCATCGGAAGCCTCGGAAGGACTGAGGATGAAGAACCTGTGTCCGGAATCTTTATCAAGAACTGCACAATTTCAAATACCGATAATGGTGTAAGGATCAAAACCTGGCCTGCTTCCCCTGCAAAGGGTACTGCTGTCTCAGATGTTCACTTTGAGGATATTATCATGGACAATGTTAAAAACCCTGTCGTCATAGACCAAGAGTATTGCCCACATAAGTTGTGTACACCTGAGGTATACTATTTTACACCAAAATTAATATCATAGTTTCTTTATTGCTTAGTCAAATACTTAATCTTGAAGAACCCAAACAGAAATCCAAAGATTTCTTGACACCAACCTCCACTATTTTGAATGGATACTTGAGTCCATCGGCCTATTTGAGATTGTTTATGAAAGGTTTAAAAAAAATTCTCAACAAAAGCACTTCTAGCGATGTTTGATATAAAAATTTTAAAGTAATTTCTGGAGAAAGGTATATGTTTTTAGGAAGAACTCCCGTATGGTTTTCCCACCAAACAAAAAAAAAAAAAAAAAAACACATGAAGTTTTAATAACTTTTTTGACATATTTATATTTAAAACATTTTTATCAAAAATATTTATGAGTATAAATGCTTTCTAATAATACTATTACTGTATGCAGGTTTCATCCAAAGTTAAGATCAGCAATGTTAGCTTCAAGAACATAAAGGGCTCGTCTTCAGGCCCAGTTGGTGTCAAGCTTTTATGCAGTGGAAAGCTGCCATGTGAGAATGTAGAACTGAGTAACATTGATCTCACATACACTGGAGATAAAGGCTCTCTTACCTCTGAATGTAAACATGTCAAGCCCACCATTAACAACGTGGCGAAGCCTCTTGCTTGTGCTACATCTTCTTGAAAACAAGCCAATTATTGGTTGTGAACAGGGCCGGTCTTGAGGAGGTGCGAGGAGAATTTTTGGGGTCCGCACATTCTAAAATCCTTCTTAATATTCTATATATAAAAAAGTTGGGAAACAATTTATATATGTTTACCTAGCATGTTTGTCAAGCGCTGGTACCTTCATGTGGTACTTTCTTATATTTGTTATTTTTTATTTTTTATTTTTCAGCCATGTTTCTTTAACATAGGGCATGTGCAGGGTAACTATTTTGGGATTTTTGAGCTACACTATTTTTTCTATTTTTAAATATTTGTAGTTTAATTTCTTTCATTATACAAGATAATTTTGCTAATAAATTTGTAGTTAGGAATATCATAATAAATTAAAATTCTTAAATTTGATATAATCTTTAAAAGCCCCCCATTTCTTATATGATATCATTTAATAGAATACACTTCATAATTAGAATCGTTAATTCTTTTGGTCACCGTTTTAAAGTCATCTATTTTTCAATCCATTTGAAGACTATTGAGTCATCCATATCAAAAAGAAAATTATAGTACAACCACACCGATATTGTTAGATTAAGTTGGTTTAATTGTTTAAGACATGAATCTCAAAATTTTAACTAATCTAATGGCAATCAACGGGAGAAGGGGAGTGAGAATCATCCTCACTTTAGGGTGTGACAAAAAATGCAATGAAAAATGTTCATTATAAGATACTACTAATATCATAACCAGTGATTCGTTTAACACATAAATTTTTCTTGAGATGAACTCTAGATGATAAGAAGAGCATGAAAGGTTTTGCTTATGATATTTGTACAGTGATATGATAGGTACATAGTCATATCACCATGATTTTTGTATTTAAAAAGCATGGAGATTTTAACCAAAAACATAGAGAACGCATATAGGTACATGACTACCACACTATGCTTCATTTTTCTGTATTTATTTATTTATTTATTTTCTTTTGCGTTATATCAATTTACACACAATAAAAAATATATAATATAAAAGAAAATATAGCAACCAAAATTTTAGACCATGCAAGGGCCTCCGTTTGAGTCTCACATAAGGTCTCCAAAATCTCAGAACCGACCCTGGTTGTGAATAAGGATTTTTTTTTTTTGTCGTGCGTTGTAAATAAGTTGCCCATAAGACTTTTCCCAAATAGCATGAGATGAGTGTGGGTTGACGGTTGAGTTTTTTTGTTCAAAGCTCTCTTTGTAATTAGATGACAAAAGAAATTTTGTGTTCATTACTTCATCTCCTTAGCTAGTAGTGAATTTTCACATGTGATTTGAATTTAAGACATATTTAACTTGTAAGCGAAGAGAAATACGTTGTATTAAATGACATTTATTTTTATTTTCTTGTAATGTGTAATAGTGTTATTGGGTAATTATTGATTTTTTATGGGAATTGTTATTATCACTCCAAAAATCTTATTTGACATTCCAAACTTTCTATAATTAGAAAGAAAAATACACTTATGAAGCGTGTAGAATGAGATTTTTGAATTGCTAATAACATTTCCCTTTTTTATTATTTATTTTTAATTAATAGAAACAAAAAGTACAAGGAGAAGCCCTTAGGGCAACTAGAAGCAACAAAATCCCAAATCCACGATGCTCTTGCCTCACTGGGCAAGGAGCGAACCCAAATAGCAGGAACAACAAAAGAATGACCCAAAGAAGCTAATTCATCAGCTACAAAGATAAACTTCCCTGAAGATATGACGAAACGAGATACACGGGAAGTTACACGCCAACTTCTGCAGATTATGAATATTAAGTAAGAAGGTGCCAAGGGAACGAAGATCCACCATTAATATCATCAATTAGGATCTTAGAGTCTCCTTCCACCTTCACATGGAACTTTCTTCAGTTAGTCCTACCATGGATGCTCTTCTTTTCGTAGGAACTGTTGAACTTCTGTTTTGTTTACCGGAGTTTGAGCCAAAACAAACTAAAAGGTCTAGAAAAGCGAATACATTCAACAACTCAAAAGCTCCAACATTCAGGGGGACTACTACTCATGATTGGCAAAATTAGGCCCTTGTCCAAGGCAATTTCCCATTTAGATTTGACGAAGACGTCAGAAAGGTGACACTCCCAATATTGCCTCGATTAATTTTCAGGTTTTTCTAATTCATTATGTCATATGTTCATTTAACATTTAGTTGATCATGTGCATGTTTTTAAATTGTGTATTACTTGCACAATAATTTAGTAATTTTGTATGTGATTAATATAACAATTAGACCCTATTTTTCGACAGAAGAATGGTGGTTTCTTTTATCCATGTAACCTGCCCGCTTTGTTTGCCGAAGCGCCCCTCACGGGCATAGGATTTCAAGGCGGTGTCGATGACGGCGGCAACGAGCTCCAGCTCGTTCACAACGAAGCGGATCGGGTCGGCGCTGCCGATCACAGTGATGCTGATCAAGAGCCGGTTGCCCTTGGTGGTGTTCTGATTCTTCATCTGCTTATACAACGACATCTTCATCGTCATTTCGTAATCAAATTCAAAATCATGAAATAATTGAGGGCAGCGACAATTAATGATTTAGAGATCGAGACCGAGGCAGTGGTAGCCTTCCTTACAGGAGTCGAAGGTGGCAGCAGCAGAGATCGAGAGGACAACTCGACATGAAAATACCGGCACTTACGATTTCCCCCATTCATAAATCACAGCTTGATTGCTTCGAACGGAGATTTTTTTTTTTCTTCTTCAAAGGAAGATAACCGGTGGCAAGTTATGGTTATCCATAAGAGACATTTCAGCCTCTCCTGGTTACAAGTCTGGCTTCCACACTAGTAGCGGGTTTCGAACCTGGGACTTCCAGTTTTTAGTTTTAAAGAAGCCTTATAATCCATTCTTACTATTAGACCACCAACTCGCGATCAAAAGAGAAATAATTTTGATAAAGGAAAGAATTATGTGGGGTTTTTATAAGAGCCCCAAATGGTGAAGTCATTACATTCTGTTTAAAAATTAGGGTGCTTTAGATTTTAGCCCTTACAATTCATTATTTCTAGATAAAAACCCATCTATCTTTAAAGATCCAGTTTAAGCCCTAATTTAAAATTTGCAAACATATAGGAACACTATTGACCTATTAATGCAATTTATTTACACTCATGCCACTCATACTTTATGGTCCCTTTTTCAAATTCCTAAATTTATGCCAAATTAAAAGTAGTAGAAAAAGTGAAATAAAATGAAAAAAGTGTTTGCATTAACCGTATCTATGTTAAACTAGAAAAGTAGTTTTTTTTTTTTTCATGATATATTTTGTAGCAATTTTATCCATATTAATTTGTAGGTAAATTAGTTTGTTCCAATTATTTTAAAAAAAAATACTACACCTATATTATATATTTTGAATCAAATAACATTCCTCTAACTTGTAGGTAAATTATTTTATATGTATTGTTATATATGTTAGACACGTTTTGTTGTTGTATAAACATGAGTGGAACATAATATTGTTGATTTTATACATCAAACTGCATTTCTTTTGTTATAGGTAAATTATTTTCCATGTACAAGTACTTATGTTAGGCAAGTTTAGTTGTTGGTACCTACACCCATGGTATAATTGGTGTAGGTAAATTATTGGAAATTAATTTGTAGTTAGGTAATGAACATTTTGCATCATTGGAAATGAACATTTCAAAGAGTAGGTAGGTAAATTAATTTGTTCTAATTATATAAAAAAAATTACACGACACCTAGTTATATTTAATTTTTCCAATTATTAAAAAAATTTATGCTACACCCAACCAAATAACATTTCTCTAACTTGTAGGTAAATTATTTTCCATGTATTGTTAGATATGTTAGGCACGTTTTATTGTTTTATAAACATGGGTGTAACATAGTATTTTTAATACTATGCATCGAACTACATTCCTTCTTAATATAGGTAAATTATTTTCCATGTAATTAGTACATATGTTAGGCACGTTTTGTTGTTGGTATATTATTTTGCATCATTGTAAAAAAGAGATATTATATTACACCCATGGTATAATTGTTGTAGGTAAATTAATGTGCATGTAGATAATGAAATACAATGTTCTAATATATTAATAAAAAGGGATAAATTCAAAAGTATTCAAGAGTAGGGTGAAAAAACTAGGGTGCTTTAGATTTTAGCCCTTACAATTCATTATTTCTAGATAAAAACCCATCTATCTTTAAAGATCCAGTTTAAGCCCTAATTTAAAATTTGCAAACATATAGGAACACTATTGACCTATTAATGCAATTTATTTACACTCATGCCACTCATACTTTATGGTCCCTTTTTCAAATTCCTAAATTTATGCCAAATTAAAAGTAGTAGAAAAAGTGAAATAAAATGAAAAAAGTGTTTGCATTAACCGTATCTATGTTAAACTAGAAAAGTAGTTTTTTTTTTTTTCATGATATATTTTGTAGCAATTTTATCCATATTAATTTGTAGGTAAATTAGTTTGTTCCAATTATTTTAAAAAAAAATACTACACCTATATTATATATTTTGAATCAAATAACATTCCTCTAACTTGTAGGTAAATTATTTTATATGTATTGTTATATATGTTAGACACGTTTTGTTGTTGTATAAACATGAGTGGAACATAATATTGTTGATTTTATACATCAAACTGCATTTCTTTTGTTATAGGTAAATTATTTTCCATGTACAAGTACTTATGTTAGGCAAGTTTAGTTGTTGGTACCTACACCCATGGTATAATTGGTGTAGGTAAATTATTGGAAATTAATTTGTAGTTAGGTAATGAACATTTTGCATCATTGGAAATGAACATTTCAAAGAGTAGGTAGGTAAATTAATTTGTTCTAATTATATAAAAAAAATTACACGACACCTAGTTATATTTAATTTTTCCAATTATTAAAAAAATTTATGCTACACCCAACCAAATAACATTTCTCTAACTTGTAGGTAAATTATTTTCCATGTATTGTTAGATATGTTAGGCACGTTTTATTGTTTTATAAACATGGGTGTAACATAGTATTTTTAATACTATGCATCGAACTACATTCCTTCTTAATATAGGTAAATTATTTTCCATGTAATTAGTACATATGTTAGGCACGTTTTGTTGTTGGTATATTATTTTGCATCATTGTAAAAAAGAGATATTATATTACACCCATGGTATAATTGTTGTAGGTAAATTAATGTGCATGTAGATAATGAAATACAATGTTCTAATATATTAATAAAAAGGGATAAATTCAAAAGTATTCAAGAGTAGGGTGAAAAAACTAAATCGAATAGTTTTATGAAAATTCAAAACCTTTCTAAAAAATTAATATGCAATAAATTTTTAACATTAATGTCTTTTTTTTTCTTGTTGCAAAATCATTTACTATTTCCTTACAATTAATTGTCTACATCAAGTATGTAATAGGGGTATTTTAGGCATGTGAAAAATGTAAAATGTGTGAATTAATATGAAGTTAATGAATTTGCTTATGTGGATCCTAGTCATTGGGTTTTCTTTGAGTAAAAAAGTTATGTAGGGTTTTATATGAAAAAAATTGAGTTTGAAGGGCTAAAGTCATATTTTCTC